TCATTCACTGTTATTTTTGCCCTTGCTCACTCCACTCTAGCCACTCTGACGTGTTTGCTGTTTCCCAAACCTGCCAAGGCCTGCTTGGCAGGGACTTGGCACTTGCTGATCTGGCTGCCTGGAACATTTTTCTCCTAGATGTCCACCTGGTTCTCCCTTACTTCCTGCAAGTCTTGGCCTAAATACCACTTTCTTAGTGGGGCCTTCTGATCACTCTATCTACCCCTAACACTTTTCTTTTTTGTTGTACCATGTGGTGTGTGGGATCTTAGTTCCTTGCCAGGGGTCGAACCCATCCCCCTGCAGTGGAAGCGTGAAGTCTTAACTGGATCACCTACCCTGGTACTTTTTATCCCCCTTCTCTGCTGTATTGTTCTCTTACTTAGCACCACCTGACATATTCTGTATTTTCTTTTTTATATCTACCTCCACTAAGGTCTTCCCTGTAGCTCAAATGGTAAAGAATCTGCCTGTAACATAGCAGACCTGGGTTCAATCCCTGGGTTGGGAAAATCCTCTGGAGAAAGGAATGACAACCCACTCCAGTATTCTTGCCTGGAGAATTCCATGGATAGAGGAGCCTGGCAGGCTACAGTCTATGAAATTGCAAAGAGACGGATACAACTGAGTGACTAACACTACCGCTACTACTACTGAAAGTAAACTCTGCAAGAGTAGAAACTTTATTTTCTGTACTACCTTGTCCTGACATTAGTGTCAAGCATACAGCCAGCACTCAATAAATATTTTTGAATAAATGAATTGAATGAATGAATTTCCATTACCTCAGGATAAGCTGTAACCCTCTGAGTTCAAGTAATCAACCAGATCCCTGGTCAGGGAACTAAGATCCCACACGCCACATGGTTCAATAATCTGGGAATTCCCTGATGGTCCAGTGGTTAGGACTCCATGCTTCTACCGCAGGGGGCACCGATTCGATCCCTGGTTGCGGAACCAAGATCCCGCATGCCATGCAGTATGGCCAAAAAGAAAAAAAAAAAAACACCCTAAAACAAATAAGTACCAAAAATCTAAAGTGTCTGTATTCTTTGCCTGCCAGTATAGCTATTACAGTAGATGGGCAACCAAGGTGTGTCTCAGATTGGGGTTCAAGGCTTAGATCACAACCATGAGATGGAATCCATGAATCTAGTATTGGTCTAGCATGTGTCTCTTGTGAATGCACTTATGTCTATTTGTGTGTGTTTGTGTGTTTTTGTGTATCTGTGGGAGTCTGTGCCACTGTAGTCATGTATCAGTGATCCTTCTGTGTTTTCTTCTCCAAGAAGACTGCAGGTGCTTCATAGGGCTGTAGAATGTCTGTGTGCCTGTGACTGTCTCTGCTTCTGGCTGCAGCATCTTGAAGCCTCAGCCCACCTGTGCTCTGAAGCTGAGGAGCCATCTCAAGCCTGGAGCGGCTGTCTTGGGTACTCATCTTTCTGGTTGGGATATCACTTTACCCTTGGAAGCACTTGAGTTCAGGTTCACCACGCAAACACAGCAAAGTGAGAACACAACAAAACACTGAGAGAACACTCAGAGCTTTTGCATTTGCTGTTCCCTCTGCCTGGAAAACCCTTCTACCAAGTCTTCTCATAGCGGGCCCCATCTTACTCTTCAGACTTTGGCTCCAATATTGCTTCCCTTAGAGAAGCCTCCCCAGAACACCCCACAGCCATCTGAAGCTGTGCAGTTTGTGTCCCCTCAAATTAGCACCCTGTCCCCACTCTTTATCACATTGTCTACTTTTGTCTTTATAGCACATGTCAGTGCTACCTGAAATTATGTATTTCACATACTTGAAATTGTATAATTTGTCTCCTTGTTACCTGTGTCTTCCATGTAAATCTCTTGGGAGTAAGGACTGTATTTGTCTTGGTCCTTATTTTACCCCTAGTGCCTGCCATGTAGTAGGTGCTCAGTAAATTTATTGACATTCTCTCCCTTATTTTGGGGAGCTGTACCTACTTATGTGTGTGATGTGTGCAAGTTGTTCAGTTGTGTCCGACTCTTTGTGACCCTATGGACTATACAGTCCATGGAATTCTCCAGGCCAGAATACTGGAGTGGGGAGCCATTCCCTTTTCTAGGGGATCTTCCCAACCCAGGGATTAAACCCAGGTCTCCTGCATTGCAGGTGAATTCTTTACCTGCTGAGCCATCAGGGAAGTCCTACTTAACTTGTATTTTTATTTTACTAATACATAGTTTCTTAGATTCGTTAGTTTACATTTAAGGAAACTGAGGATATTAGGAGTGAAAGATTCTGCATGGGCTCCCAGCTGGCTAGTACAGAGCTAGGTCTTCAACTCCTAGGCCAGGGTGTTGGCCACTCTAAGGCATGACCAGCCCTTCATCTGACCCTCAGCACCGGTGAGGTCAGGTGTAGCTGCCACCTGTTTGGCCCCTGGCTCAGAGCTGCAGAGAGAGCTGGGGTTCCTTTCAAAGAAGTGAGAAGAGATGCAGAATTAATATTGGTAAATTATGCCAGAACCCTTGCATGCACATTATTATTATTGCCCCCATATATTCTAAAATAATCCCTGTAAATAATTATAAAAATAAATCTCAGTGACAAATTCTTTCTTTTCTTTTCTTCCCAGGAACACATTTATTCATCCTAATCTCTTCATGGGTAGGACAAATTGGAGCACTGGGTAGTGAATACAATTTGCAAATAGGCAATATAAGTAGAGAGAAAATTAATATGTATTCCTCAGCACTCTAAAAGGAGAGGAAGAACATTAATAGCCATTTCCTTGCAGATATAACTTTGAAAATGTTATTTCTGATCCATCAGCGTGGGGCTCCATATGAGGAAAATGGTTACAACGTGACAAGAAGTGATTAGATGTGAAATGGCATCTTTCTGGCGCTCCTCCCGTTTCTTTATCCTGTTCTTATTGGGACTTAGGAGGAATTCTGTTTTATTTTGTTAAGAAGATCACAGCGCTGGCCTGGGGTCTGCTGCTCATTGGCTGGGTGACCTTGGGCTATTTCCTTTTACTCTCTCAGCCTTGGTCTCCACATCAGTAGCTGGAGCAGATGACTTCTGAAGCCACAGTGAGTTTGGATGATTACAAGTCCTCACTACTTGAAGTACCTGAGAAAAATAAGAGATGCTAGGGCACCACCTACTGAATCAGAATCTCATTTTCTGAGTTTCATATACTTTTAAAAAGTGATATGCCTGACATCTCATAATTTTTTAAAAAATTTTTATTGAGGTATAATTGATTTACAGTGTCATGTTACTTTCAGGTGTTGTTTTTTGTTTAGTTGCTTAGATGTGTCCCGACTCTTTTACAACCCTGTGGACTGTAACCTGCCAGGCTTTTCTATCCATGGGATTTCCTAGGCAAGAATACTGGGGTGGGTTGCCATTTCCTCCTCCAGGGGATCTTCTTGACCCAGGGATCAAACCTGCGTCTCCTGCATTTGCAGTGGATTCTTTACCACTGAGCAGCCAGGGAAGCCCAGTTTCAGGTATGCAGCAAAGTGAATCTCATATGCAAATACATACGTTTGCTCTTTTTTAGATTATTTTCCCATATAGGCCATTACAGAATACTGAGTAGAGTTGCCTGTGTTACACAATAGGTCCTTATTAGTTATATATTTTATATACAGTAGTATGAGTGTGTCAATCCCAGTCTTCCAGTTTATCCCTCCCTCCTCCTTACCTCCCGGTGACAGTAAGTTTATTTTCTATATCTGTAACTCTGTTTCAGTTTTGTAAATAAGTTCATTTGTATCCTTTTTAAAGATTCCATATATAAGCAATATCACATGATATTTGTCTTTCTCTGGTGAGTTCTATATATATTAATTGAAGTTGGGGGAAGTTTTTCCTCTAAGTGGCAGAAACTTGCCAGGCCAAGCTGGGATTCTGGAAGGGTCACTGGGCCTTAGACTTTGCTCCCTTCTTCCCCACTGGCCAGTATAAAGTTCAACAGTGTCGCCTGGTCAGGGATTCCTTTCCCTTTCCAAATCTGAATCCCTATCGCCACATCAGGGATGACTGTCTCCTGAGCTCAGCTAAGGATCTGGAGTATCTGGCAAGTTCCAGGCAAATTGGGGAATATGATTTGTTTTTCACTGCTGTCTTCAGGATTTGTGAAAATAATGGTAAGACATCAGTACATAGCAGTCTCATTGGTAAATTTTTATTTTTTCCCTGCTGGTCTCCTCCTATCTTGTCTCTAATAACAGAAGTGGTAAGTGCAGGTTGCAGAAATCACAGAAGGAAAGCAGAAGCTCCTTCCCACACCCCTTCCCCAAACCGGCTCCTTTCTCTGCTCCTGGTGGATATTTGCACTTTAGCAGAGAGCAACAACAGAACCTTTTAAGATCTAAAGAGAAGGGAAATCGGAGATGCTGAGAATTAAATATAGTAATTATATTTAGGATACTAGTAAATAATAACAATAAACTAATATCTGCAACAAATACTCATGCCAGACATTATGATGACATTTAATATACATGAAATAAATGAATTGTTGAGAATAGGAAAGCAGAGAGGTGTTCTGAAGTATAGATCATCCTCAAGTCACCTCACTAGTGTGCACAAACTGCCCAGAGGGCCCTGGAAACTCCCCTCTTTTCTATACTTCCCCAACCCCTTTTAGGCTGAAATGAATCTGCTTCAGCAACAAAGAGCATTTTGTATGCAGACATCCCGCTTTTTTTTTTTTAATTGAAATCTGAATGTGGTGAGTCTGAACTAGGGGCTGGGGTGTGATTAATTACAGCAGCCATCTTAACCTGCTCAGAGGCTGGGCCTGAAAGAGATGAGGTGAGGTCAATCAGAAATTTGGTTAAGGATAGGGAGGAATGTAAATAAAACCTTGTTAACTGGCCCCTGTCTTTCTTTCCGCTGCTGATGCATGGAGTTGGAAGATTTAAGGAATCAGTTCCTGTTTCTCTGGTTCTGGCCGACCCTAGAATCAACTCCCTTGATTGGAAATAAACAGGATTTTCCTTTCTGTCCCCAGGAATGTGACGGAGGAAGGACTCTAGGGGAAAAGGCCTCGTCTGCCAAAGAAGAAGAATAATAACAAAGATGACAGTAGGAATAAAATATTGCCCTCTTCATCAAGGGTGATAAGGAAGTATCCAGTTATATGTGTTGAGCCTTCTCACTCTCCATATACATATGTTAGAACTTTAGAATTTAGCCCAGGTTTGATTTGAACTTTCTGTCCTGTGGTCGTCTTGAGTGTACTGAACAAATTGGGCTACATGTCTCACCTTTGGTTTCAGAAAATAGGACCCCAATTACAGCACTTCATGTTGACCTAGTACCTTAAATGTCTGAGTATGAACCTCTTTCCTGGAGGGTGTGTCTGTGAAATGTGTGCCCCCAGTGCCTGGCATGGGGCCTAGCCTTTGGAAACTAGGGCAGAGGGACTGTGATATAAATGGGTGAGGCAGGGAGTCCTCCAGCTCCCTATCTCTTGGCTGAGGAGTGGGATGAACCCCGGATGACTGCATGAACCTTTCCTTCCCCTTGGTGCTCCTGGGGGCAGGGACAGGAAGTTTTATGCAGGGAGAAACCCCAATAAGACTCAGCCTCTCTGTTGATTTCTGCAAATGCCTCATGTTCCAAGGGAATCATTTGCCCACTTCTGGGCCAGCTGTATATGAGTTTGCTCTCTCCCCTCCTAAGGGGAGGTCCATGTTACCTGAAGAAACTTAACCTTTTGCTATTTCTATTAAACTTCCCTTTTTGGTTAAGAAGGTGATGAGGTAGAAGAATGTCCCTGCCCTGATCACTCTTCCAGTCTTCCTTGATTCAGATATACAGATACTTTTTCTCCTTCTCCTCTCCCTCCCGCTCCTTCTCCTTGTTCCTCTGTTCTGCAGACTAACTTCCCAAAGCTGACGGTAATAAGGAGAGGTGAATCCAGTCTGTTCCTAAAGAAGCCCTCCTCCACTACGTTAAACAAATTTTCACTCTGCTGAATAACTTTCAGTAGCTCCCTATTGTCATCAATTTACGTTTCTAACATTAAAGCCCAACTTTAATATGAGCTGTCTTGAACTTTGTTCTTTGTGATTTCCCAATGCTCTCTCCCCGGAGTCAACTGGCCTTCCCAATGTATTCACTTAGAGGAGATGAGTGGTTGGAGAGGCATTTAAGGCAAAACCAACAACTAAAAGGTAAGCAGAGGATGAGACAAGCAGAAAAGGGGGCAGGAGAGGTAAAGGTTGATGGGATATAAAAGGTCTTGAGGGACATTGGTATGATGATTTGGGGCTCAAGACTTTGGCTGTATTATTAGATTGGGAGGAGGCCATTGAAAGATTTCAGGTGGGGTCAAATCCAGCTTTTAGAATGATAGCCCTGGGGCTATGTAGAAAAGGGAACTGCAGTGAGGGGGTTTGGAAAAGTGCCAGAGACCCCTGCTGACTTTGGTGTCATTGGTGGATAGGGTCTGCAGAACAGACTTTCTGTGCTCAGAAGACACAGCCATGTATGGAGGCAGGGGTATGGATGAAATGACCTTAGGCACCCTCCTCCTGGTGGGAGGGAAGAGTGGGGTTCCAGTTTCATCTCTGAGTAGGTTTCAGTTTATTTCCACATGTTGTCTCCTTTGGGTCAAAGCCCTTTTAGGAGGGCCAAGGGGAGAGGTCCCCAGGGAGGGCAGAGTGTCACTTCCTCTTTTTCAGGCAGGAAAGGCAGACAAAAGCGGACAATGGACCAGAGAGGGTGCGTCCAGCAGAGAAGGAGGGAGGAGCCGGAGGAGCTGGCCCAGGGCAGGAGGCCTTGGAAGATTCCCTTTGATCCCCCTTATCTCTGGAGGGCAAGCTTGCTTATTTGGCCAGTGGGGCCTTTTGTTACAGCATTTCCTGGAGCCCCCCAAAGTAAACACAACCAAGTCTGTGTTCTTACAGCTCTACTGTGTCTGCTCCTTCCAACAGAGAGAAAGGGCAGGCGGGTCAACCCTCAGAAGTCACCCCTACTCATCAGAATGCTGACAATAAAGATGCACATTACAGTGCATTAGCACCACGCCTGAGAGACAACTGTGATGGCCACAAAGTGCTGAACCACCATCATAATCACCATCATCAACTGAACAACTAGGGCTTTCTAAAATCTAAGGTTTAGATCTATGGAGTAATAAAACAGGAACAATGGAAAGGCCTGTGAACACCCTCTTTGATGGAGGTGGGAAGCTATAGTCATCAATACGTCTACTGAACTGAGGTACTTGCAATGCCCATGAGACCTGGAGTCTGGTGTGGCAGGAGTCAGTTTTCCCTTTTCTGTTCAAATGGTGCCTGTGCCCACTGGAAGAAAGGAGCAGGGTGGAAAGGCTAGTTACTGCTGGGCTGGCCCTCAGTTGCAATAGGGGATGGGTGATACATGAAATTGAACTGGAATCTGGTAATTTTTTTTGCCAGCAAAAGTCTGTCCAGTCAAAGATATGGTTTTTCCAGTGGTCATGTATGGATGTGAGAGTTGGACCATAAAGAAAGCTGAGTGCTGAAGAATTGATGCTTTGGAACTGAGGTGTTGGAGAAGACTCTTGAGAGTCCCTTGGACTGCAGGGAGATCTAACCAGTCAAATCCTAAAGGACATCAGTCCTGAATATTCACTGGAAGGACTGATGCTGAAGATGAAACTCCAATACTTTGGCCACCTGATGCAAAGAACTGACTCATTTGAAAAGACCCTGATGCTGGGATAAATTGAAGGCCGGAGGAGAAGGGGACCACAGTGGATGAGATGGTTGGGTGGCATTAATGCCTCGATCAACATGAGTTTGAGTAAGCTCCAGGAATTGGTGATGGACAGGGAAGCCTGGCATACTGCAGCCCATGAGTTTGCAGAGAGTCGGACGCGACTGAACTGAATAGCTTTGTGCATCCTGGTGATGGAGGTGTGAAGGCAAAAACAGGCATGGAGAAAATTGGGGCCCTTTCAGTGGAGGACAGGCACGAACTTCCATCGGTGTGCCCACAGGGTCTAACTTCACCCAGACAGGAGGCAGCAGAGGCCACCCCGCGCTTCCAGATGCAGGGAAGGCGCGTGGGGAGCTGACTCCTCCAGTGACCTGCAGCCTCACAGCTAACGTCTCCCCGTGAGATGAGAGTATAAACCTGGGAACATCATTTGACTTTTCTTCCCGGGGTGTCAAGTGGGGTGCTACTAGCTGAGCCAGTGCTTTACTTACAGAAAAATTCCATTTCCTCCTGCTTCCCATGCAAACGGAAACTCCATCAAGTGTCCTTCCCATCTCTTAACTATCCCCCTTCCCTCATCCCCTCAAAGCTGGGGAGAGGAGTTTCCACCAAGACGCCCCTCCTCCCTGCAGCTGAGGACAGTTATGTAATCTGGATTGTGACACAGAGGAAAGTCCTAGCTAGCTCTCCACGCTCCTGGCTAACGGTTCAGATGGGGAGCTAGTGATGGGAGACCTCCCCACTCCGCTATCCTCCAGTGCACCCCCACCAACGCAGCAGGGCTCTGGGCGTGAGATGGGGGACCTATTCCTGTTGTCTTGAACCCTCCTGACTCCCGGGGTGGGGCACCGAGAAGCCAGGTGGTTCCCCCGCCCCCCCGCCGAGGTGGGGGCGCAGGAGCGGCGGGCACCTGTTGCGGCGCGCCGGGCGGTGGCTGAGGCTCACCTGCGCGAGGCCCGGCCCAGGGCGGGCGGCGGGCGCAAAACTGAGCCGAGGTTCCGACGCTCGGTCCGCGCCTCGGGCTTCCGCCGGGTCAGCTGACCGCCCAGTGCGGAACTAAGCGCCGGCCGAGAGCTGCCTGCCGCCACCGCGCTCCTGCTCGGCACTCGGTACCGCGCGCCCGCCCCGTCGCCATGGCCGGGCTTGTGGTCAGTGGAACTCAAGTAAGTCCGCTGGGGCCACCCCGTCCCCTCCTGGGCACGGTCGCTCTGAGGAGGGAGCTCTGGGGCGAGCGGCGTCCAGAGGTCAGACGGGTGCTCCCTGCCCCACCTCGGGGCTGCGTCCGCAGCAGCGGAGTGAGGCAGGCCTGAGGGGAGCATAGACGCGGTTTTGCGCCTGGCGCACCCCCTGGGTGGGAGGAGAGGGGGGAAGACCCTCAGGTCTCCCGGACCCCTCCAGCCCCAGCGCTCAATGACCAGAGGCCAGCCTGCGGACTTCTCCATCAGGTGGAGTGGGCACCTCTCACAACCCACGGTACTTTTCCGAGCCCACAAAAAAGTTGTAACTTCTTTCATAATCTGAAGGAAAAAAGGAACCTTGTTAAAAGAAACGTTTTAATATATTTGTCTTTACACCAATGCAGTTGTAAAATAGAAATGGTAGTTTTAGAGTTTTTCTTCTTCCCGACAACGGAGGTAGGAGCCTCTGAAAGACACTGAGAATCACGCTGCGGCCGTGCAGGCGCTGGGCTGCAGACTTCGCTGCAGACTTGCTCCTGTTCCTAACCCTAGATCCCTTACCAAGGACCGGTAGAAGGCTGCAGTGCTCCAGTTTTATTTCGGCACCTGACTTCTTTAACGGGCGTCCTTGGGGATGGCAACGCTCTAGTTTCCACCCGGGGTGATAGACACCCAGCTTTACTTGCTGTCAGCCTTGCAGTGACGCTTTAGTTGTTTTTAGTCATTGCTGGAGTGTTGGACTCAACTACTGGGGGGCCAGGTGCCTTTTACTTGCTGGAGAAGCCAGGTGTCCTTTATAAGCTCTGAAGGAGTCCTCCTCCTCCCCTGCTTTTCCCGGATGCCCTAGAGAAATGGTTCTGAGGTTTTGCAGCTCTCCCCTTGGATGGCTTGAGGCAGGAAGTGTCAGGCACAATTAGATTTTGAGATTACTTTGGGCTTAGGGAATGTTTCTCCCTTCTTAGAGTTCAGGAGTTAGCAGGCCAGGGAGGTACTAGCCTGAGAAAGAGGTTAAAATGAAGTGTCTATTTTAGCTGGCAGGGAAAAGGGACTTTCTGGGAGTTAATAAGGCTGCAGAAGGAAGGGCTAGAGGAAAGGACCTCTTCCCAAGCCGGGTCCCTGACCCTCAGAACCTAGGTCTCTGCATTTCAGAGCCAGGAGTCTCTGGGTGTAGCTGCTTCCAGCTTCATGGAAGACTTGACATGGGCCTGCCAACCTTCCTGTGCTTCCCTTCTTATCCTCTTATCCACAGCTCAGTTTTATTTATTAGTTTTTCTCTGAGCCCCTTGAATTTAGCCCATCCCAAACAGCCCAAGGGCAGTGACCTGTGAGTGAGGCATTTTGGTCCCTTGGGGACTGTTCTAAACAAATGGAGCTGCCAGGGGAAGAGCTGAGCAGGCAAGTTGGGGAAAATGCCCTTGTGTCACAGGTGCCCTGTATTCTAAACCTCCAAGGTCAGTGAATCTGAGTGGTAGCTCAGGGCTTTAGGTCTTTCTAACGTTCTGCCTCTAGCAGCCGTTATAAGATGTAGCACCTTGAATGTATATCACATGGTCCTTCTCAAACTTGGGATCCTTCTAAAGGGTGGGGGGAGGAAACCCACTTCCCATGAGCCAACACTGTTACTGTTTTTATTTCAATATTAAGTATACAATCACAAAACCAGATAAAACTTTTTCTAAGTTCATATTTAGAGAGCTATAAACCCCCCAAAAGGGATGACTTAAGTGTAAAAACGAAAACAATAACACCCATAAAATTAAAATAGACAATGAAATCTATGATATTTGCTGAAACTCGGTCACTGCTTTTGATGCTGCTGTGGCCTGATGGCTGTGGCCCTAAGTTTTAGGAGTTGCTCAAACCTGTAACACCACATGCTTGGGGATGTTGCTGTCCTCCCTCCATTTTTCTCTGTACAGTGGATCTGACTCCATTTGGCCTTCTGTTGGCATGAATGCATCATTTATATTCAGCATGAAGGCCTCAGTCTTCTTCACTAGCTTAGGACAGTTATAGTAATGGCATTAATACAAATGCAGACACAAATGCAGACTTGGAATTGGGATACTGAAATCTTATACTGGAGAGACATGGGAATAAAAAACCCCTTCCACAGGGATACTGGTGTGATTCACTAACTACCTAGTGGCCACTTGCCAAGGACAAGGCTGTGGGCTTTAAATATGTTAACTTATTTCATTCCTGTAACATAAATAAAATGAGGATAAAATGTGACTCATGGGCTTATTTAATGAGGATTGACTAGTTAAGTATCAGTAACCTCAGATAAGCACATGACACCACCCTTATGGTAGAAAGTGAAGAACTAAAGAGCCTCTTGATGAAAGTGAAGGAGGAGAGTGAAAAAGTTGGCTTAAAGCTCAACCTTCAGAAAACTAAGACCATGGCATCTGGTCCCATCACTTCATGGCAAATAGATGGGGAAATAGCGGAAACAGTGGCTGACTTTATTTCTTGGGGTTTCAAAATCACTGCAGATGGTGATTGCAGCCATGAAATTAAAGATGCTTACTCCTTGGAAGGAAAGTTATGACCAACCTAGACAGCATATTAAGAAGCAGAGACATTACTTTGCCAACAAAGGTCCATCTAGTTAAGGCTATTGTTTTTCCAGTGGTCGTGTATGGATGTGAGAGCTGGACTATGAAGAAAGCTGAGTGCAGAAGAATTGATGCTTTTGAACTGTGGTGTTGGAAAAGACTCTTGAGAGTCCCTTGGACTGCAAGGAGATCCAGCCAGTCCACCCTAGAGGAGATCAGTCCTGGGTGTTCATTGGAAGGAGTGATGTTGAAGCTGAAACTCCAACACTTTGGCCACCTGATGCGAAGAGCTGACTCATTTGAAAAGACCCTGATGCTGGGAAAGATTGAGGGCAAGAGAAGGGGATGACAGAAGATGAGATGGTTGGGTGGCATCACCCACTCAATGGACATGGGTTTGGGTGGACTGTGGGAGTTGGTGCTGGACAGGGAGGCCTGGTGTGCTGTGGTTCATGGGGTCGCAAAGAATCGGACACAACTGAGTGACTGAACTGAACTGACTAGTTAAGAACTAGGTGGGAGGCTTTTAAAAATATGAGTTGTTACATTATTCTTAACACCTTTTGGAGATGGTTAGTGTTTAACTAGTTTATAGAAGAAGAAACAGAGTCTATGAGTTTGTGACCCATCCAAGGTAATGCAACTAGTTAAGTAGCAGCACAGGGATGCTGATTCATGACCAGAGTTCTTTCTATTCATGGAGCTGCCAGTACTGCAAATCTAAAATTAAGGATGCCTCACCTCCAAGTGGGGGCAGGCATCCTGAAATAAACTCCTTTCAATCTGACTGCTGACAACACTCCCCCCATCCCAAAAATCTGTGAGCCAGACACTATCCCAATTGCAAAGAGAAACCTTCCATGTCTTGCAGTTTGGTAATTTTCTGCAGCTTCTGCTCAGAGGAGCTGAGTGTGTGTACATGTAGAGATCCTGCCAAGATATTATTTTTCTTTCTGGTGTTACTCTCTGTAGTGGTCTTGAACTTGATATGTTTTCATTTCTCTGATAATGGTGTCCTTTTCTATTGTAATTCCACATGGTCGAAGTCTTGGGGGTACATATTACATATGATAGGCAAACTAAAAGTATGAAACTTGTTCTTCATTTCACTCAAAATCAAGATAATTGACTAAATGCAGTGCCTTCTCATTTTGGGTGGGATCTTGCTTCGGTGGCATCTAAATCTGTTAAGCTCTACATCCCTTCTCTTGTTTGGTGAAGACACAGACTATTTTTGGTCTGGCTCTTCTAGTTTCCTGTTTTACATTAGGTTCCCATGCTTCAAGAAGTCTCCTGACATCCTGAGATGTAATGTCTTCCACTCAGGAGCACTTCTTAAATAAGTCTCTCCTCTCATTATGAGTGTTGTTTGCCGTGCCTGGCAGTGACTGCTTACTGCTTTTAAGCCTTTTCCAGCCAATTTGAACCCTTTAGCATGGCTGACTTAACTCACATGTCAAAAAGCTTACAGTTTACTATGAGGGTGGTCCAAACATAGACACGGCTTATCAAGTTGGTGTTCTTAGCAAATTTTGGAGACTTGGTCCTCATCTCTGTGAAATAGGAGCAAGTTGTGCTTTGTTTGGTTCTCCTGGGATACTGTAATGTTGTTGTTTAGTGTCTCAGTTATTTCCAACTCTTCTGCGACCCCAAGGATTGTAGCCTGCCAGCCTCCTCGGATTTCCCAGGCAAGAATACTGGAGAGGGTTGCCATTTCCTTCTCCTTGACCCAGAGATCAAACCCATGTCTCCTGCTTGGCAGGCAGATTCTTTACCGCTGAGCCACCTGGGACACTCTGTGATGTTAAGATCATGGAATAAAACAAGCTAATGGAAGTTTTGTCAGACATGTTGTGAGTGGTTGAATGCTTCATGGTGGTAACTGTCCTTAATGTTTGTTTGCTCTGAAGTGGAATTCTACAGAAGATAAAAGGGAGCAAATATTCCTCTTTCTGCAGACTCTAACACTCTTCTGAGACATTCAACATGGCATCATGAGGTAGTTCTAGATCTTTCAGCTAAGAAGACTCATTTTGAAGCCAAAACATGATGATAGATAGCTGGCATTTGTTGGTCAAGAATATCCACATTGTCATGTGCATATTTAAGAATTCCATGGCCTCCATATTGGACGTCCTTATTCCTGGTGCAGAATGTGGTCCAGACTCTCCTTAAGAAGATGTACTATGCAGGGCAGGCCTCTGGAGTCTTAGTTTCCTCATATAAAGTGTGAGGGATTTTGACTGAGTCCCTGCTAAATTTAATCCTTTGTAACCCATGAGGAAAGAATTCAGTTTCCACATTGAAAACTCAGCCTCTCTGCTGCATATATAATGGAGATCTTGAATGCTTTTGTTATGTACAGAATGGGTAAGGGATAGGTTTTCAGGTGAGCACCATGGGCCTAGGGGTCAGTGTGAACATATAATGCAGAAGCAGCTACTGATGGTGAGCTGCTGAGTGAAGTCCCTAGATTCTCCAGTCTCTCTGGAGAATCCTTTATCTCTGTTTGGAAGCAGAACTTAATTTGTTACATGAGGAGATAGATGGCTCTTAGGTAGAGAGGGGAGAGATTACCAAATTGAACTTACAGCCCTTTAGTTTTTAGTCTATATCTTCCTGAGTCAAAATTATTTTATTGGAATCAGCTATTTTTTTTTCTGTCTTTTCTCCCCATTTTGTATCTTCCAGTAATGAAGTTACTGAAGAATAGTGAACACAGGATATTATATTGTCAGCAAATGGTCCCCATTGGATAGGAAAGGGTTGAGAGATGACTTGAAAAATTGAGGGTGCCAGGGTGCAGTGAGACTTGTTTTAGGTGGAGCCATATGAAAGTGCAGTTGTATAATTCTATGATGGTCAGAGTATTAGTAATTCATAACCTGATTTTAACCATTTTAATGTAATACTGAAGATGCAAGATGGCCACCATATTCTTATTCTCAATTGGGAATCACAACCCCTCCATCCCTACTTCCACCCCCTTGGACACCTCTCATTCCAGGACTTCTTGTTTGTATGTGGAAGAATGAAGGTTTGCAAGGCGAAAAGGATCAAGGCTGTAGCCTTGTAATGAGCTGGAATTTCTGCTGAGCAGTTGAGGATAGGCTCCTTTTGTGGGAAAGCATCATGTATTGTGACCCACTGCTGACTGGTCACTGGTTTGTCTTACTAGTTTTGGAATTAGTTGCCAGTCCTGCCCTCACTGCTACCTGTAAAAATAGGTTTCAAACCTCGGTGCTTGGAGCAGTGAGAAAGCCCTCTGACCTCCCAGTCTGAAATTCTGGGATCAAATTTCAGTTCAGCCTCCTAATATTTGGGCATACACTAGGTAAATAATAATGATAAAAGTAAGTAAAGAATGCTTAAGGGACACCTCTGCCAGCAGAATGGGGTTGACTGCCAGGGGCTCCCCGGAGGACAGTCTTGAGAGCTCTGGCCACCCGTGGTTGCCCTGTCGCCTGCAAGTCGGCTCTGTTCAGAGTTCGGAGGACGTTTTATACACGGTGGTAATAGGATGGGATTGGCGGTCTGGGGAGGTTTTCTTGTCCAACCCTATTTGTTCCAGCACCCTGCAGGTTGAATGCTGGTAAGTGCATCTGCTGTGTCTTTTATGAGGTAATGTGCATAACAGGGTATTTGGGGGAGGGGGCAGCGGAGGAGAGGGAGCAGGAGAGCCAGAGGGGCAGCTGTTGGGAAGGCCCCTGAGTGGGAGGCTGATTGCTGTGATTATATCAGCATGCTCTGAGGTTGGGGTTTTTTTTTGGACCTCTGAATCCGGCCAATTTCAGTCCAATTTCCCTTGTGCCGGGATTAGTCTCCATCATGCTAAGTGTACCAAGAAAGGGGAGCTGTTGGCAGAATCCCTGAAGCCAAGTCCCAAAGCTGACTTGATCAGGCAAACAGCCACAAATGGGGTCTTCCTGTGTGCGGAGCGCGTGTTTCAAGTTGCGGAAGCAATCATCGGATCAGTGACGCAGGGCCTTGAGCAGCTGGGTGATTTCCGTTGGCCACATTGTTTCTGTTCCATTTTAATTTCCAGGTGTCCTACATAGGCCAGGACTGCAGAGAGATTCCAGAGCACCTCGGCAGGGACTGTGGACACTTTGCAAAGAGGCTTGATCTGAGCTTTAACCTTCTGAGGTATGTAACCTTCATGAGACAGACCAGGCCTGGGAGACCCAGGGCCCATGGTGAAGGCCTGCAGATAAAAGCCAAGCAGCCCAGGTCTCCAAAGGGACCCCAAAGGTGTGACTCTGCTTCACAAGGTCCTCTGGCTCCCCTCTTGTGCCCACAAAACAGTGAGTGTGAGTGTCCTCTGGCTCACGTGTGTCCCTCCCAGAGGGCCATCAGTGTCACTTTGTTCTTTTCCTTCCTCCCTGAGGCCCATGCGTCATGTTAGAAAACTCTTGGAGAGGAAGAGAGAGAACCAGCAGGTGTGTTGGGGGCCTTTAGGGATGCTTTTGTGGATGACCCCGTTGCTCAAAGATTTGCTGAATCCCAGGTAGAGTGTATGTGTTCTTCTTTTATTTTCTTTGCCTTTTTATGAATTGAAACTTTAAATATTTGTGATGATGATTTCTCCCAGATGGTATTTCAAAGTAATTCCAATGCTGTTGGCATGGGGTAGGTGGGAGGGAAGCTCAAACAACTGTTCCAGACTTGGCAGAGAAGGTAAGTGCAATTGTATATATTATTCCAATGGAGAAAATGGAGTTATTTCTTCCTAAAAGGTGCTGAATTGTAACTGGTTTGGGGACTCTGGGGAGGGAGCTGGAAGGTTCTTGGAAAGCAGGTGTCTGTGGGATAAATGGGCGGGGATCTGGGTGGTGGCTTTTCCTAAGGAGGTGGTTCCATGCAGAGCTTTCTCCTAAGTGTCTCCTTGAGAGCCATGCTATCCTCTGATGGAACAGACTGTCTCCAGGTGGAAGGACAGATGAGGAGCTGGAGTCCCACCCCAGGGCTCTGGTACTTTACTTCCTTCACAGTGTGGAGTCTCTTCTCTCCAAGGCAGGACACTTGGGCATTACAGATTCCAGCGAAGATGAACAAAGCTTGGGGCTTTAAGGCACCAGAGGGTGGAAGGGACTTCCAGCAAAGCCAGCAGAGCTTCATGGGCTGGTGCTTAGGAGCTCACGGCTGTGCTGAGATGCGTCGTCTCCACAGGAGGGGCGTCCAGGGAATCGTGTTAGAAGGGAGTGGGTGCAGTATGCTGCCTGACTCTCAAGGGGTTTGTGGGCTTCTGAGAAGATGTGGAAACGGAAAAGTCACAGAGTAATACAGAGTGGTGAGAGGGTGCCAAGTAAACTCGGACTCTGAACAAATGAAGGATGGTTTTTGGTCCCTGCCCAAGAAGGGGACAGAAGACAGTCTCAACTGATGGTGCCTGAGACACGTGTGCGCCTTCACAGCTCCCCAGCGTAGACTTGGGCAGAGGGTTCTTCTCATGTGGCGGGCCTCTGGGTGTTGGGGCTTTTGACTCAGGCAGTGGCTGCCTTGCTGCTGGGAGCCCGGATGTGGGTTTGAGGAGGCTGGGCCCTGGGAGGGGGTATGAGCAGTCACAGGTCATGGGACTGGGCTGTCAGGTCTGAGGAAACAGAGCCATCTTTGTCACATTATGGGACCCTGCCTCTCTGATGAGAAGGGGTTCTTGGCTCTGAGAGGCTGGATCTTTAAGGATTTATCATAGGAAATGATGGGGCCTGGAGGCAGGAAAATTTTGTGAAAAGGAGGTTGGTTTAAAAAAAGAGAGGAATTAAGACTTTTGTTAACTTTTTGTTGAGAGAAGAGTTTTTATAAGTGTCAAGTTTGAGGAATGATCCCTCCAAAGATCTGGTCCTGAACCTGTTCTTACTTGTGCTGTGGTCAATGTGTGAGTTGTAGCTGGGTTGGGGCAGGGATGAGCCATGGAGGGGTGAGGTCTCATGGAAGGGTTTATATTAGGACTTGGGTAAGCTGGAAGGAGTTACAGACCAGAATGCAGGAGAGTAACTCTGACTTGATGTGGTTATGGTGAGATTGACTCATCTTTGATGGTCTTATTTACCTAACTTGGGGGCAAGGGGAGGTGGCACTGTTTCTCTTGGGTGTCAGAGGAAGATGTAAGCTTATTGCAGGTCCTTTGCCTTCAGTTGGATAAAAATTCAAAGATGGTTTAGACGCTTACCTAATTCCTCTTTGGGGAGAGAAAGGGAGAAGGGAAGAGAAAGATCATGAACTTACCTTCCACACAAGTGGGAATGTGATTCCTACCAGGCTGAAGGGATCATCATATCCAGAGGAAGTACTGCGGATCCCCGTCCCACCTTTTGTAAAAGGTTTCTTCCCAGTCCTGTCTTGTCATTTCCACGGGATTTGGTGGGGAGCATATCACCCTACACTTGCTCTGCACCTGGATTTACCATAGCTTGTGGTTTTAACTCTCTGCTCTATCTTCTGTTCTCCCTCTTGGCAGCCTGTCTGGTCCTACTCTCGACACCCCCTTCATCTCCCTTGAAGCTCAGTACTACATTACCGTTTATTACGCCAGTTCAAATTGTACCAGGAGAGGTAGGGTGGTAGTTTTGCGTGCAGCAGGAGATGCTGGGATAGCGTTGTTCCTGAAGTCTTCTGGGTACTCCCTTGCCCTGGAGAGTTTCTCCCTGGCTGTTCCTCTCATCAGGATCAGGTCTCCTGCATGTGATCAGGTGCCCGTCTTTCCCAGCCACTTTCTCTGCTTTCCATGTCCCTTATCTTCTTTTCAGGGTTATCCTCAGAAGCACAAAATTCTTCTCACTTTGTTATGTTTGGAAGAATCACCCCCCCGCTGTTCCTCTCATCAGGATCAGGTCTCCTGCATGTGATCAGGTGCCCGTCTTTCCCAGCCACTTTCTCTGCTTTCCATGTCCCTTATCTTCTTTTCGCCCCAGCTCCTTCTTACAGGACATCTCTGCAGTCTTCCTTGTCTCATCCATAGAGTCATGTCAGGGTGTTGCCTTAAATGGAGCCATAGCTGCTAATACAAATTTTGCTACTCCCATAAATCACAGAATCAGCTGCAGTCTGTTTGTGCTTTAGACTGCAGCTTGTTTTTAGGCAAGGAGTTCTGCTTATTCATTTAAAAATATTTAATAGTACACATGACACAATCTTTAGAAGGAACAAACCTGTAACCAAGGAAAAGAAACTCTCCCTTGCATTTATGTCCTTTGCCTCTTGGGTCCCACCTGCACTGGTAACTACTGGTAGTTGATCTTTGTCATCCTCCAGAGTTAGTCCATGTATACACTAACATGAGAGTTTCTCATGGGGCCAGATTTGTATTACTTCTTGCCAAGATGTTAGTTAAAAGAGAGACACTAGGCTTCAGTTAACCACTTACGATCAGGTCATCCTTCTCTGTTGTCTTGCTCTTAATTCAAAGCCATTCACCATCATTGTTAATTTCATTCATGAAAGTGATGTTTCTGCTGATTTGCTCTATGGCTACCCATTCATGCTGGAGGGGAGGGTGGTTATGGATTTATAAGCTCTGAAACATTATTTTTTTCTTCCCATTACACCTCAGGGTTTTCCCCCCTGCATTAGCTATGAATCCATCCCTCCCTTGATTGGGTTGTACAGTAGTAGACTGGTTACTTCTCTATGCAGAAAGTCTCAGAAATTGAGGCTGTCTTGCTTCTGTGACTCTGTCCGGGGAGGATGAAAGTCCCTGGACCCAGTATGTTCCCTGACAGGTTGGAAAGAGAAGCAAGACAAAGGTCCAAATAAAATTCCTGACTCCCTTAAAAGACTCAGACATACCTACTCTCTCAACTCGGATCTCATTCTTCCTGTTATGACTGGATGAGACCCAGGTGAGCCACAAAGACAGTGAACTGGGACCAGCTCTCTGGACATGGTTCCCAGGGGTAGGCAGGGTCCTGTCATCTCCCCTATAATGGCCACAGAGGGTTTAGGAAGCTTATTAGGTAACAGCCCAGAGGAGTGAACTTGTGTCCCTTGCACTTGGATGCATTAATGATCATGTATCCATCCAGTGTTTATATCTACATGAGAGTGTACTTTAGATTTTATTTTTTGAAGACAATCTGCTAAATAATAAAACCATATTTCCCAGTGGAAATATTGGGAAAACCAGAAGGGTATGACTGAAACCCTCTTTCTCTCAAATTTTCACTGATAATCTTACCACCCAGGAATCTCCATTGTTAACATTTTATTGTCTTGGGTGTTTCATTTTGCCAAATATCTTTTAAATGATGCTGTTGCTTACATTGTGTTGGAAGCATATTCCTATCTCAATAAATACTGCATTATAGGTTTTAATAGTTTCTTAATTCTTCACTTCAGTTCAGTTGCTCTGTCGTGTCCAACTCTTTGTGACCCCATGGACTGCAGCTCACCAGGCTTCCCTGTCCATCACCAACTCCCAGAGCTTGCTCAAACTCATGTCCATTGAGTTGATGATGCCATCCAACCAACTCATCCTCTGTCATCCCCTTCTCCTCCCGCCTTAAATCTTTCCCAGCATCAGGGTCTTTTCCAGTCAATCAGTTCTTCACATCAGGTGGCCCAAATATTGGAGCTTCAATTTCAGCATCAGTCCTCCCAATTCTTATTTCTTATTGTTGGACAGTTAAATTGTTTCCAGATTTTTACTGTTATAAATCTCTCTTATAAATTTCCTTGTGATACTCACTGATGAATATCTCTGATTAGTTGTTTGGGGCAAATTCTTGGGGACAGAATTGTCAGAAGGCCTTAATACAGATGGCAAGTTGCCCCCGAGAGGTGATACCAATTTATGCTACCAGGAATATTTGAATATCCATTGTCCCAAACTCTTCCTTTAACTATTCTTGTTTGTTTTTTCCTTTTGAGATTTTCATATTTTGCTTCTCTGATCAATACAGAGAATCCTCTGCCATCACCAGTGCTGGTTGATCAAGGAAAAGAGAACTTGGTAATAGTTTGTCGCAGCTTTCATTTTGCTTCTCCCTGAACTGGGAAAGGACAGTATTCTCTCTGGTGGCCTGTTTCTCTCCCCCATGGGCCCTGAGTAGGTTGCCCACTGAGTTTGTGAACACAGTGGGCAGAGCAGAATTCCCATGGCACACAGTGATAAACACACCTGTGTCAATATGACAATGAAATTGAGAGGGCTTAGCTGATCTATGGAAACAGTAAACTTACATTTTAAAAATTATTGGCAGTTGCATCTTACTTAGCATCACTCTGGTAAATGTACTGGATGGGAGAATTGCTTAGGAGAGAATGTCTTAGGTGAGAGCTTGCTGCTTCTCTGACTTTGTCAAGGATGACAGTGATGACTGGGGACTTGGGCAGCTCCAGTAAAATTGTGGCTCTGTTCTTCCCACCAGACAGAGAGGTGGACACTAGGTGTCAGTTCTTTGAGGATGAACATACCACCACATCTATGCCTGTTTACTAACAGCTGGGCAGAACTGGGCCTGTTAGCTTGCTTCTCAGTTGGAAAAATGGGCAGTGTAATGAAAAGAACCAAGGCTTTGTGGTCAGACCATCCTGTCTTGAAATCTTATGACTGTCTTTCACTAGTTGTTTAACTGCCCTTGGGCTACTTACAAAAATGTTGAATGTGTAATTGTATAAAGTGGCAGTTTAGTCATTCAGTCATGTCTGAGGCTTTGTGACCTATGGACTGTAGCTGCCTGGCTC